ATATATATATATATAATCATTTTTCGAAATTTTAAAATTTCAATTTAAGTGCTTGGCAGCAAATCGCAATACCTGAGTCGGTCAGGGAACAGGTACGGAAGATTTCAGAACGGAAGACCGTAAATAATTCTACAGGTTTCGATGACACTTAAATCCTGCGACGATTGTTAGTAAACACGACGAGGAAATTCTAACTTTCGAAAATTGGACAGAAGTTGGACAACGGTCCCTGTACAATGATGCAGCTGAAAATTTACGGTGGCAAAGAAAAACGATTTGCGGCCCCCGATTGTGGCCACTGCATCTCGTTTCAACATTGTGCCTAACACCTGTATGAATCTTCCCCTCCGAGACCAGGAAATAATCTCGAAGGTGTTATCGTAAAAAAATTATAAACTTTTATGTTCTTCTTCTTCGATATACGCATTCTAGTACGAATATTTTACACTTACGATTCGACGTAAATTAACTTGTTTATAGATTACAGATATAGCGTATATAATTTGCAATTGTTAATGTCAACGATTGTTGTCAACGGGACCGCAATTTCGCAAGGCGTGGAAAATTGGAGATGTTATCTCGCGAGAGCCGCAAACGACGGACGGCTCCCTCTGTAAAATTTGACCGTAGTAAATCGGGCGAAAAGCACGGTCTGTGGGTCTCTAGTGGGCACCGACCATCCTTTCATTGCGTTTTACACCCAACAAGCTGTGCACTTGGCCAATTCAATTTTGACCAAAACAATTTTACAGACAGACCGTCAGTTGCAACAAAAAGAATCCCACGGTGTGATGTCGTAAATTTCGCAAAGCAGCAACAACTCCGTACCTTCCTCATCGCTCCAGCTTTAAGAAAAATTTCCTTGTCCGCTAGGATAATTGTAATCTTCAAGGTCGACGTTGCGCAATTCTCTCTCGAGGGAGAAATTAAGCTACTGAAACGATAGAATAGAATAAGAATAGAAAAAGAAAAAGAAATTACTCGTAAATAAATCGTAACTATTATTATCGCGTGTAAAAACAATGCGCGAAATCGATAAGGCGTGTAAAATAGATCGAGATCGAAATCTCGAAAAAACGAAATTTCACGCGGTAATAAAAACTGCACGGGCACACAAGAAAGCAGAGAAACATCTGCAACGCATGTATACTCCTACGTATTCGAAAGAGGATGAGGCAATCCGCAAACACCGCGTCTGACGCGTGCGTTTGTTCGTAGGAAGTCGGTAGCCGATTACCAGAAGTCTGCTAATTGGAAAAAGGTGGCTGGATGATGTCTCGATCGGCCTTGCCAAGGACTTGCCTGCCCGTTCTCCGATTAAACGACCGGTGGCACGCGTACGAGCCTCCAACCTATATGTATACGCATGCGCATACCCGTACGACATCACACGTACGATTTCAGAAACGCACAACCTCGTTTACAGGCGTCCGTACGTTACGTACGTGTGCGCGCGCATAAACGTATAGGAAAGAACGGAGAGAAGTCGGGGCCGAAGACCGAGTGAAACTTCTGCTCGTGGTATATCCTACCACATTGCTCGATGACTAGAGATAGGCGTTAAGTGTGACACACACGCGTGACCAAAAAGCGTACGTGATAGCGTACAGGTGTGCGAGGAACGAGAGGAACAGGTAGAGATGGCAAACCTGGGTGGGCGCGTGCACACCACTTCGAACGTCGATACGGATGTTACGCGCACACGAACTCACGAGAAAACTTTACTC